AAGGGGATTTCTGAGGAGGAGTTGTGTGAGGTTGAGGTGAGGGTGGAGGTGGTGAAGGTGAGCGGTTTCTGGTTGGGGTTAACTGGTGGCAGGGTGAAGTTGATTTGGTTAGAGTTTTCTTTGGAGTGGGGGTTGTCTGATGTGAAGGGGTAGGAGTGTTTTGTTTGATGGGGGATTGAGGGGGTGTGGAAAAAGGTGTGGTAAGTTTGGGTGAGGGTGCCTGTTGTGCAGAGGGTGATTTAGGAGGGGATGGAGGGGATTGTGGAGAAGTATGAACAGAGGGAGAGTTAGGGATTACCTCCAGAACAGTTTCTTCAAATTGAGATGCCCTACATTCTCTTATGAGGTTCTCCATTACCAAGGGCATATCATTTGTAGTGGAAGGTTCTCCTTCTACACCATGAATGGGTTTGAATTTGATCAGAGATTCCTTTTGTTTCTTCTCCATCAACCAGGCATCGAAAATTGGTACCTCATGTTCTTCCAGGGTTTTGACATGCTTCTCTAGTGAGGTAGTGATCAGAGGTTCTTTGCCTTTGAGAGTTGCTTTCTTTTGGATAAGGACAGTCTCAAGAAAGGTGAGATCAAAGCATTTGGACACATCTTCTGTGCCTGCCCAATTGAGAACTTAAGCTTCCTCTGATTCAAAAAGATCAACCTGCTCGATAATTTTTTCTAAGAGGCCCCATTCTCCACCTTCTCCAAGCAAGTACCCTTTCATACTGTCTGTCCAGAACAGCATTAAAGTCAACTTTCGAAACTTTGTCAGGTGTGGGTTGATGCTCAGGTGGAGAGTCAATCAAGGGAATGTCTGGTACAGGTGAGGGTTGAGATTCAGGTGCAGCCTCTGGTTTAGGCTCCCCCTGAGTAGCTGGTTCCTTAGCAGGAGTGCTTACTTTCTTCTTCTTCTTTTTCTGTATCAGAGATTCAGAGCTATCAGAATCACTCTGAATCACCATTTTTCTTCTTTTCTTCAGCTTCTTCTGCTTCACAGGTAATCCACTGATTGATTTAGAAGAGGCCATATCTGATGCAGCCTCCTCTGATGCATTTTCCTCTGATGCATTCTCCTCAGGTGTGGCCTTCTTAGCAATGAAGGGTTTCTTGCTTAGCACTTTTTCAACCTTTGTCAGATCAGGTTAATCAGAAGTTGCTTTGGACCTTTTGGTGTGCTTCTTGGGGGCTGGCTTAGATTTAGCAGCCAGTTTCTCTCTGTTCTGCTCCAATTTCTCTTCCCTCTTCAGCTCTGTTGAGATGGCAACATTCATCTTAGGAGATGCAGTGAGGAAGATGGACTTAGTGTGGTCAACCTTGGAGGGGTTTCTGAGTTCCACTTGAGATTTGGAAATAAACCTTGAGAGGAGAAGACCGTGACCCATCTTGGTTGAGAACTAACCTGTCTTCTTGTCCTTTTTCTCTACAGATTCGGAGATGGATTTAAAGATTACCTTTCCCCAGTCGATGTTCATGCCATGATGAACTGCATAGATTGCCCTGGCATTGGCATTGTTCATATGGTCAGTGGAGCCAGTCTTGCACCATAAGCACCTGTGCATGATGCTGACTAGCTTCTCACAGTCTCTCTTCAGCATAGACTTCTTCATGTATAGCTTGTCTACTCCGGTTGCATCAGGCCGGCAGTAGGTTTCGACAAAGGTTTGAACAGATACGTCCACAGTGTCGAGGTCGATGAGAGTGGGGGTGTCTTCATCCTGAGAGTCCAGTTGAACCCCAAAGAACTCGTTTAGGGCTTCTGCATCGATCTTCAAGTTCTTGCCCTGAACTTGAGAGTAGACTGCTTCGTCGGTGATTGTGGCGTTCAGGTAAAACTCAGCCACATCTACAGTGCTGAAACTCTCAAAGGGATGAGACAAAAAATCTTGCTCAACTGGGAGTCATTCATCCCTTGGATGATTTTCTTCATCGTCTTCCGGTTTTCTGCTAAAAGAGGTAATGCAGACATATCAACCCGCATTCTGGTGACAATGTTGTCAACCAGTGTCTTGGCTTCCTTCTTAGTGAGATCGGTGATGTTGATGAACTTCATTTTTCAGATAGTAAGGGTTTTGAGAATTTCTAGAGGTTGAAAGTTCTAAGGAAGAAAGCTTAAGAACGAGAGAAGGTAGAGAGATAAAGTGCAGTAGCGGTTTAGGTTTGAGGTAGTGGGTATAAATTGATTTGGGTTAGTGGACGTTTGAGATTATTGGGGGTTTCGAGGTAGCATTAAGGGAATAACTATCGGGGGTAAAATAGTAAAAGACCTGTTCAAGTACTTAGGTCTGCCCGATCCTTAAAAAAATGGCTAAGTCCACATGACCTCTGATAAGGTGTTCTGATAAGAACTTCACGTCAGAGAGCGTGGTATTCTGATGGGTGGTTCTCTGATTCATAAATTGAAGTTCTGATCCAGAGCAGCTTTGATTCACACATCTCTGGGAAGATCATCCATCATACCCAGTTCTCCTCTCATCTTGTTGAACCTTTACTCGGAGAGAGGTTTGGTTAAGATATCAGCAAGCTGGTCTTCTGTTAGAACATGCTCCAAGAGAATATGGTTCTTCTCTACATGATCTCTGATGAAGTGATGTCTGACCTCAATGTGTTTGGTCCTTAAATATAGCACATGATTTTGAGTGATGGCAATGGCACTTGTGTTGTCACAGAGGAGCTTGATTTCCTTTGCATGAATGCCATAATCCTTGAGTTGTTGCTTCATCCAGAGTAGTTGAGCATAACAACTTCCAGCTGCAATATATTCTGCTTCTGCTGTACTTGTTGAGATGGAGTTCTGCTTCTTGCTAAACCAGGAGACAAGTCTCCCACCTAGCAATTGGCAGTGACCAGAGGTGCTCTTCCTGTCTAATCTGCAACCTGCAAAATCTGAGTCAGAGTAACCAAGTAGTTCAAAGTTACCTCCCTTGGGATACCATAGGCCTGCATTTGGATTTCCTTTGATATATCTGATGATCTTCTTTGCAGCACACAGATGGCTCTCCTTGGGCTTTGATTGGTATCTGGCACAGATTCCCACAGCAAATGATATATTTGGTCTGCTTGCAGTTAGATAGAGAAGAGATCCAATGATTCCTTTATATTGAGTTGCATCAACATCCTTTCCTTCATCATCAGGTCCAATGCCTTGAGAGGCATTCATGGGAATCTTAATAGAAGTCTTCCCATCAAGTCCAAACTTTTTGATCAGATCTCTTGTGTACTTCCCTTGGTTGATAAAGATTCCTTCTGGAACTTGCTTCACTTGCAAACCTAGAAAGTAACTCAGTTCTCCCATCATGCTCATTTCGAATTGACTATGCATAACTTGAGAAAATTTCTTGCACAGTTCTGAGTTAGTACTTCCAAATATAATGTCATCAACATATATTTGAACTAACAGAATATGGTTAGCAACAGAAATCTTAAATAAGGTCTTGTCAACCTTTCCTTTAGTAAACCCATGGTTCACTAAGAATAAGGACAATGTGTCATACTAAGCTCTATGAGCTCGCTTAAGACCGTAGAGGTCCTTTCTAAGCTTGTAGACACAAGAGGATTAAGTAAGAATGATAAAACCTGGTGGTAGTTCCACACAGGCTTCCTCTTCAAGTTCTCCATTCAGAAATGCACTTTTGACATCCATCTAGTAGACCTTGATGTTGTTGTAAGCAGCATAGGCTAGAAAGATCATGATTGCTTCCAGTCTTGCAACAGGTACAAAGGTCTCATCAAAATCAATGTCTTCCTCTTGGTAGTAACCCTTTGCTACAAGCCTTGATTTATTCCTTACAATGTTGCCTTCTTCATTTGCTTTGTTCTTGAATATCCATTTGATGCCAATGACATTCTGGTGCTTTGGTCTAGGGACAAGTTCCCATACTTGGTTCCTTTCAAACTGGGTAAGCTCTTCTTGCATTGCATTGATCCAATCAGTGTCTTCAAGAGCTTCTTCTACACTCATTAGTTCCATTTGAGATATGCAGCAGGTGAACATGGCTTCTCTCCTGGATAGAGATGATCTGGTTTGAACTCCAGTAGAGACTTGACCAGTTACTTGATTAGGGGGGTGATCTCTTAACCAAGTTAGATCGGGTTCTGTCAATTGTTGTCTGGGTTTCTCTGGTTGTTCATCTTCTGTGTCTTCATCTTCATCCTTGTCTATCAGAAGGTGGTTACCAGAAGGGTTTGGAAACACTGGGTTGACTGTGACTTCTTCTGTTGGTTCAGAAGTCTTGTCTTCTAAGTTGGTTTTCTTCAGGGTCTCTGTTACTTCTTCCACAGAAGTGCTGTCATCAAACTTTACATGTATGGATTCCTCCACATGTAGAGTTCTTTTATTAAGTACTCTATAGGCTTTGCTGGTGCTAGAATAGCCTATGAATATGCCTTCATCAGCTTTCTCTTTTGATGGTTCTTGTGGATCATGCTGTTGTTCTGGGTGTAGCATGCAGTGTTGATTGCTTCAGCCCAGTATCTCATTGGTAGTCCTGATTCAGCAATCATGGTCCTTGCAGCTTCCTTCAGAGTTCTGTTCCTTCTTTCAGCAACTCCATTCTGCTGAGGTGTTCTGGCAGCAGATAGTTGGTGAAAGGTTCCATTTTGATCACAGAAGTCCTTGATCACTTTGTTAACAAATTCAGTACCTCTGTCAGATCTAATAGTTCTGACTTTCAAGTTCTTCTCAGTCTGAAGTTGCTTCACTAGAGATGGCAACTTCTGAAAAGTTTCATTTTTCTTTGTCAGGAACACTGTCCATGTGTATCTTGAATAGTCATCAACCATAACTAGTGTATATCTTTTTCCACCAACACTGGGAGTTTCAACTGGTCCAAATAAATCCACGTGGATGAGATTTAGAGGACTAGTGGAAAGATCTCCAGCAATGGGCTTGAATGAGTTCTTTACTTGCTTGCCTTTTTGGCAGGCACTGCAGAGGGTCTCCTTCTTGTATACCATGTCACGCCCCGGACCTATCCGGACACGTCAACAACCCGCCGTACAATACGAATAGTCAACCGCAGTCCAACACATTCATATTATACAAGGCGTCTTGAATATCATTCACACATATACATCCATAAACAAACATAATAAGTAATTCATAACGCAGCGGAAACATTGTTTAAAACAAAAGGGCCATACAAGGCATTTCATGAGCACGCAGGCTCCATAGTAAAATATCCATGAGCATGTTTAGAAAGGTTTAAAAACAGAATGGAGGAAGCACGAACCAAGTCTTCCCTCCTATATGATCTCTCGAGCAACGAGCACAGGAAGCAAGCTCTAGCCTCAACCTGAAAAATGGTGGTGGGACGCCCCCGAAGGGGTCAGCACTCTATAGGGCTATAAAGTGCTGGTGTGGCAGGCATCTAATAGATATACAACAAGTATTTCACACACAAGACCCTCAAATAGGGTGATAATATAGTATAGGCCGTAATCCCAGATTACCCCTTTCAAAATACATACTTACTTTATATAAAGTCAAGTAGTCGGCTCAAAGGCCCGTGTTTGTTATAAAACATTTCCCAAACCCCGTGACTAATAGTCACGACAATACATAGGGTCCAACCCTAATATAACTTCTCATTTCTAGAGTTAGGCTCGAGTACATCATCATGCACTCGCATCATAGATCTCCTACTTCATATAATCATATCATAGATCTCCTACTTCATGTATTCACCCCATAGATCTCCTACTTCATACAATCCCACCATAGATCTCCTACTTCATATAATCACACCATAGATCTCCTACTTCATATAATCACACCATAGATCTCCTACTTCATACAATCACACTTGACACTTGAATCTTATTCAAGTTCATCACAAACAACTCAAACCTTAAGTTTGATTCTATCAACATTTTGAACAATCCTTAACTAGCATCACAATACTATTAAGATTATTCCTACAACTCATTTATCATAAATGGTAGCCCCTCCATATCAATAGATATGTGGCTGTAACATCCCGGCCCCACCGGACCCGAGGTAGTTACTTCGGACCAATAGTACTGTCCTCACAAACCACCACAAGCCTTTACCGCGCACTTTGTCCTCACTCGTGCGCGCCCTGAGAAACTTCCCAGGGGGTCACCCATCCCAATACTACTCCCGTGCGAGCACGCTTAACTTTGGAGTTCTTGGCTAATGAGCTCCCTTAAAAGGAGATGCACCTCTGTTGGTATGAGTAGTACTATTAATCCGTTTATATTAAATCTCAAGTGTTACAATCACCCCCACTTAGGATCGCAACGTCCTCGTTGCGCCCTTGAACCAATCTCAAATCTCAATCAAATCCCAGAATCTTCCCCCGCTAAGTGCCCGCCCGATATCCAACGGGTCATCACACTGTCGCGGGGTTGCTCTGATACCACCTGTAACATCCCGGCCCCACCGGACCCGAGGTAGTTACTTCGGACCAATAGTACTGTCCTCACAAACCACCACAAGCCTTTACCGCGCACTTTGTCCTCACTCGTGCGCGCCCTGAGAAACTTCCCCTGGGTGGCAGCCTCCCATGTGCTAAGCATCATCATGAAATTATACATTTACATACACATAACATTCATACATGAGTTGGAAGGTCAATTTACCATATTAGCATACTTTTATTCACAAAAACATGATTCAAGCATTTAGGTAATCTCATGCATAACCTACAAGTTGTAAGCAACTAGATGTCAGTCCTCACCTCAAATGAGCTTTAAAACTTTCCTTCTCGATCCAATGACCAAAACCTCGGCCAAGGAAGATTGAGAACTGATTCCCTGCTTGGAATTGAGTGTTAAACAGCCCCTTCAAAGTGCTAGTTCAACTCCTAACCGAAGACACAAAAAAACAGCCCCTAGAACGGGTGTTTCCCGACGAGATCGTTCCCTAACCTTTCAAGGTTTTGTCTAGATTAGTATCTAACCTTTCCAACAATTAAAGTCACTTAATAATAACATTTTATACACTCCAATCAGTGTATAATAGTTCTTCAATCATTTATATGATTTTGGCAATAGGGAGGAAGGTTTTGGATTCAAACTTACTTTGAATACAAAAACGTATTCTGCGAGGTCGTGTTTTGCTCGGTCGATTTGGAAGCCTTCCACTACTCCGATTGATGAAAACCAGACGTTCACGGATTCCTCGTCTTGAGAGCTTTCTGTGGGTATCTCGCACGCCTTATTTGGATGTGTATAACTCGAGATATGGAGCAAACAAGTAACCTTACGCACTGGAAAAACTACCTGCGGACAGCTTGCTCTCTCCTTGGTTCTTCTTGAATATGTGGCTCTCCCTTCTCTCTTATCTTGGGGAGTTCGAATGGGGGGTTTGTGGGAGTGTCTAAGACCTCTCAAAAGAGTTGGATAGGCTGTGTGGAATGGAAAAGAATGGATATGGGGCTTGCTTGGCATCATGTAGATCAATAACACATGGGGAGGGCCCTTGGTTTGTCTCAAAGTCAAGTGCAGCCCCCCTTTTCCCTTTATGTCCTCCCCATACCTCCCCAACTAACACATTTCTTTGTTTTGCAGGTGCTCAAGTCATGTGGGATGGTTCCCAATTGATCCCAATCCATTTGGGGTCCAAAATATCTACCAATACATCCAAAAAAAATGGAAGATAGGTCCTATTGTTTTATCTTTTGTCAAAGATGTCTTTTTGTACTCATCCTAATTTATTTAGAACAAGTCAACTTATTAAATCACATTATTGATCTCCAATATGTGTAGGCTCATCCCAATAATTTACTTGATGGATATTTTAGAAGGAAAATCCTACTCCCATTATTTAGCTCAATAATGCCAAAGATGGGGTTATAGGCATTTGTATTCTCCTTTAATCATCCTATCGCTTACTTTGACATTTGTCATTCATATTATTGGGCTTACAATCCGTGTGGGTCGCCCCCAAGCGGGCCTACGACGCCGTCCTCAAATACTTGCTATTTTAGCGGGTTGAGCCCAGAATAATGTATGGACTGCCCGCCCTACCTCAACTTGTCTTGAAACGTTACGTATAACTATTTAGATAATGTTAGGATCTTTTATTTATTAATAAGGCCCAAGCGAGTATCCGCAAGCCCAACACTAATGTACGAGTTCGAGCGGTATCATAATCGATCATGATTTACGTAAAACAACAATCGTTTTACAATTGTTTGAAATCAGAAATCCAATACATAAACTTTGAATTTTAAATTAAATTTTCAAGGAACTTCGGGTGCGGTGTCACAAGTTCACTCCCCCTTAACAGGAATTTCGTCCCCGAAATTCACAGCTCTACTCGAATAGGAAAGCATACTGCTTCCTCATCAAAGCCTCTGTTTCCCATGTCTCTTCCTCGACCCGATCGCTCTTCCACAGGACTTTAACCATTGGGACTTCCTTGCTTCTCAATTTCTTCACCTTCCTGTCGGTGACCTTGATTGGTTGAACAGCGTAGTTCAAATCCTCACGTACCTCTACAGGTGGCTTCTCCAATACGTGTGAGGGATCATGCACATACTTCTCAAGCATGGATACATGAAACACATTATGTATCTTCTCTAACTCAGGAGTCAACTGTAGACGATATGCAACGGACCCAATCCTCTCTATAATTTTGAATGGACCTATGTACCGTGGGTTAAGCTTTCCTCGGGTTTGGAATCGAATGATTTCTTTCCAAAGAGAAACTTTCAAGAATACCTCGTCCTCAACCTTAAACTCTAAGGTTCTTCGACGCTTATCTGCATAACTCTTTTGTCTATCCTGAGCCGCTTTGAGTCTCTCTCGAATCAACTTCACCCTTGACTTGGTGATCTCAACCAACTCAGTACCCTCGAGTTTGGCCATGCCAACCTCGTCTCAGCATAACGGTGTACGACACCTCCTCCCATACGATGCTTCATATGGAGGCATGCCGATACTTGCCTGATAACTGTTGTTATAGGCAAACTCCACGAGTGCTAAGTGGTTGTCCCAACTTCCTTGGAACTCTAACGCACAAGCCCTCAGCATATCCTCTAAGATCTGTATAACCCTTTCAGACTGCCCATCCGTCTGTGGATGGAAAGCAGTACTGAACTTCAACCTCGTTCCCATAGACTCCTGGAATTTCGGCCAAAACGTGATGTGAATCGTGGGTCTCTATCGGATACGATGGTCACTGGGACCCCATGCAGCCTCACGATCTCATCCGTATACAATTTGGCTAACCTCTCAAGTGGGTAGGTAGTGTTGATAGGCAAGAAGTGTGCACTCTTCGTGAGCCTATCCACAACAACCCAAACTGCATCATAGTTCCGAATTGTTCGTGGTAAACCTACCACGAAATCCATAGTCACATGTTCCCACTTCCATTCAGGAATGGAAAGTGGTTGTAACAAGCCTGCTGGATGCTGATGTTCTGCCTTAACTTGCTGACAAGTAAGGCATCGACTAATGTATTCAGCTATTTCCCTCTTCATACCAGACCACGAGTAACTTTCTTTCAAATCACGATACATTTTCGTGCCCCCCGGGTGCATGGCATAAGCCGATGAATGAGCCTCCTCTAAGATGGACTTTCAGAGCTCATCATCTGACGGTACACACACTAGGTCACGAAATAACAAGAGACTATCATCTCTTTCCCTGAAATGCTCCACCGGTCCCGCTTGCATGCGTTCCCGGGCCTTTATAAGTTCTACGTCAGTCTCTTGACCCTTCTTGATCTCATCAAGTAAGGTCGGCTCACCTTGAATCGTGCTAATAAGGCATCGTCGCTAGATACATCCAATTGGGCCCTCAGTGCCCTCAAACTAGTCAACAATGCCCCAGACGAACTCTTCCGACTAAGGGCAACTGCTACAACGTTTGCCTTACCTGGATGGTACTCAATAACTAGATGGTAGTCCTTTATCAACTCCATTCACCGTCTCTGTCTCATGTTTAACTATTTCTGAGTAAACACGTACTTGAAGCTCTTATGATCAGTATATATGTGACATGTCTCTCCGTAGAGATAATGTCTCCAATTCTTCAGTGCAAACACTACTGCTCCCAGCTCCAGATCATGGGTAGGATAATTTTACCTCATGCTTCTTCAACTGTCGTGAAGCATAAGCAGTTACCCTCCCCTCCTGCATCAACACACACCCAAACCCTTGGATGCTCGCGTCACTATAGACATCGTACCCCACACCCTGTTTGGGTAATGCAAGTACCGGTGCCTCGGTCAATCTCTTCTTCAGTTCGATGAATCCTTTCTCACATTTGTCATCCCATATAAACTTAGCTCCCTTTCGAGTGAGCTTTGTCAATGGCGATGCTAAAACTGAGAACTTCTCCACGAATTATCTGTAGTAACCCGTTAGCCCGAGGAAACTACGAATCTCCTTCACGTTCTTAGGCCTTTCCCATTATGTGATAGCCCCAATCTTCTTGTTATCCACGGCAATGCCTGACTCAGAAACTACATGCCCAAGAAAGCCAATCTCTTTAAGCCAAAACTCGCACTTAGAGAACTTGGCGCAAAATTGCTTCTCTCGTAGTGTTTCAAGATCCAGGACCAAGTGCCGCTCATGTTCTTCTTCACTCCTTGAGTAAATTAAGATGTCATATATGAACACAATCACAAATCGGTCCAAGTATTTATGAAATACTCGGTTCACCAAGTCCATGAATGCTGCTGGGGCGTTTGTTAGCCCAAACGACATAACAAGGAATTCAAAGTGCTCATACTGTGACACCGCACCCGAACGTCCTTGAAAATTTGATTTTAAAATTCAAAGTTTATGTATTGGATTTCTGATTCCCAAACAATTGTAAAACGATTGGTGTTTTACGTAATTCATAATCGATTATTATACCGCTCGAACTCGTACATTATTGTTGGGCTTGCGAATACTCGTTTGGGCCTTATTAATAAATAAAAGACCCTAGCATTAACTAAATGGTGATACATAATCTTTCAAGACAATCCGAGTAAGGTCGGGCGGCCCAAACGTTATTTTGAGCCCAACCTGCTAAAATAGCAAGTATTCGAGAATGGCGTTCTAGACCCACTCGGGAGTGACCCACACGGCTAGTAGCCCAATAATATGTATGACAAATGTCAAATAAGTGATAGGATGATTAAAGAAGAATACAAATGCCTATAACCCCACCTTTGGCCTTATTGAGCTAAATAATGGGAGTAGGACTTTCCTTCTATAATATCTATCAAGTAAATTATTGGGATGAGCCTACACATATTGGAGATCAATAATGTGATTTGAGAAGTTGACTTGTTCTAAATAAATTAGGATGAGTACAAAAAGACATCTTTTGACAAAGATAAAACAATAGGACCCATTTTCCCCATTTTTGGAAGTATTGGTAGATAATTTGGATCCCAAAATGATTGGGATCAATTGGGAACCACTCCACATGATATTAGTACCTGCAAGACAAATAAAAATGGGTTAGGAGACTTACCTTGGCCGGCCATTATGGAGAAGAGCTGCACATGACTTGATAAGAATCAAAGTTTGGGGCCACCACTCTTATTTTCGCACAAATTGGTGTGCTGTTTGTCTCCTCTCATTATAGGAGCTATCCTCAACCAAATAACGTGTATGAGGTGTCCTTGGATAGCTTTTGAAGTCTATTTTTATAATTGAGCGGTCTCAGTTCGAGAGGAGAGAGTAATCATCCAAAAATCGATCTGGAACGAGCAGTGGTCTGTGAACTCGAGCTGTGAGAGTGCTGAGACTGTTTGGTTGATATCTCGAGTTTTACCAATCCAATTAAGGCGTGTGAGATACCAAAAGAAAGCTCTCAAGACGAGGAATCCGTGAAGGTCTGGTTTGCATCAATCGGAGTAGAGGAAGGCTTCCAAATCGTCCGAGCAGAACGCGACCTCGCAGGGACGGATTTACTCTTCTAAGTGAGTTTTTTAATCCCAAAACCTTTCCATTCATTTTCCAAATGATATGAACGATTGGTGGAACTATTGTACACTAATAAAAGTGCATAATATGTCCCCATAAAGTTATTTTATTGATGTAAAGGTTAGATACTAATCTAGAGCAAATCTTGGAAAACTAGGAAACGAGTTAACCGGAAAACACCCATTCTAGGGGCTGTTTTCGTACCAACGATTAAGGGTTGAACTAGCTCTTGAGGAGGCTGTTTAACACCCATTTTCAAGCAAGGAACCAGTTCTCAATCTTCCTTGGCCGTGGCTTTGGTCATTGGATCGAGAAGGAAAGTTTTAAAGCTCATTTGAGGTGAGGATCGACATCTAGTTGCTTACAACTTGTAGGTTAAGCATGAGATTACCTAAATGCTCAAATTATGTTTTCCATGGATTATGATGATAAATTATTGATGAAATATTGATCTACTTTCCAAGGAATGAAATGAAAAATGATTTGGTAAAGTATTGATAAAAATGGGATTAAGTGAACTATTGTGTGA